ATTCTATTCTCCTGATTGACTCAATACCATTTTTCTCAGGCTTTTGTGAGTTGACCCGTATAAGAGCTATTCAAAATAGAATTGGGGTCCTCTCAATGAAGATTTGGAGAGTCATGGCTGAATTTGGGAAGGGACCTGGGACACCTTGTATTGTCCTTGCTCCAGGCCAAAGTTGTTTTGCACCTGGGAGAAGGGCTCATACCTGGCTCTTTCTGACTTGACCCTGACCTACCATGGCATTATTTATTCATTCATGCATTTATTCATCAAGTCTTCATTATTTAATGAACTCTATTAGGTGGTGGGGATACAAGGATACATTTGGCAACAAACCTGCTCTGAAGGGGCTCACAGGGCTTGGAAATGTACAAGCTGGAAAGGCCATTCCTTTATAAGATAAGTAGTTACAGTAGTGCAGGCTCAGGCATTATCCCTGGCCCAGAAATTCTTGTACAGCAGCCCAACAGGCCTTTAGATTATGCTTATATTCCAGGAATTGGTATTGTAGTAAGGCATAATAATGACCACCACAAAGATGTCCACATCTGTTCTCAGACCTGGGAATATGTTATGTTACATCACCTTTTGAGGTTGAGTCAGTGCTGACTCACGGTGACCCTAGGTGTGTCAGAGAACAGTTCTCCATAGAGTTTTCAGTGGATGATTTGAAGTAGTTCTCCAAGCATTTTTTCTGAGGCACACCTTTCAGTAAGCAGCTGAATGCTTAAATGCTTGCACCACCCAGAGACTCCTATGTTACATTGTAAGGGGGCATCAAGTTGCTAATAAACTGACCTTGAGATAGGAGATTATCCAGCTGGACCACTGTAATCACAAAGATCCTTATAAGTAGAAGAGGGAAGCCAAAGAGTCAGAATGACAACCTGAGAAGAATTTGACCTGCTGTTGTTGGCTTTGAAAATGGAGGAAGAGGGCAGCCTCTAGAAGCTAGAAAAGGCAAGGAAACAGATTCACCTCTAGAGCCTCCGAAAAGAAATATAGTACTGCCTGCTCCTTGATTTTAGACCAAACCAAACCCGCTGCTATTGAGACAATTCTGACTCATAGTGACCCCAATTGGATTTCCAAGGCTGTAAATCCTTACGGAAGTAGATTACCTCATCTTCCTTCCATGGAACAGCTGGTGGGTTTGAACACCTGACTTTCTGGTTAGCAGCCAAAGGCCTTATCCACTATATCACCAGAGCTCCTTGATTTTAGATCAGGAAGACCCATTTCAGATTTCTGACTGGAGGACTGTAAGATAATGGATTTATAATTTATATTGTTTTAAGCCACTAAGTTTGTGGCTATTTATTACAGCAGCAATAGGAAACAAGTATCAGTACCTTATGGATATGCCTGATTATGTGCAAAAAGACAGAGGATTGACCAGGTACATCCAATCAGAGCATCCATTAAATGATTATTTTCATATTAAGCACATATAACTCAAACCAAACCAAAGTCACTGCCATCGAGTCAATTGGGACTCCTAGCAAACCCTCCTTGCGTTCTGGAGGCAATATCTCTATGGAAGTAGATTGCCCAACGTTCCTTCCAAGGAGTAGCTGGTGGGTTTGAACCTCCAGCCTTCTGATGAGCAGTCAAATGCCTTAGCACTATGCCACCAGAGCCCCCAGCGTACATCATAGGATGATAATTTAGCATTAACTTCAAAGACTATCTTCAAAACACAAAATTTCATTTTTTTTTTTTTTCTGGTTTACAAGCTGCTTTGAGCCCTAAGCTACCAGATACCCTACCCTCTGCATGTTTGAAAGGCACCAATTTATCTTAACACTATAGTTAGTGATGACAAATTGCCATTTTTATTCTTTCCATAATGCTGTATCTAGGTCTCTTTTTTAACTTAACATTTTAAAATACATGTTCCCAAACAGGCAACCATTGGAATTTCATTTAAGGATTAAAAATATTCTACATCAAAGCATAATTATACCTAACATTTGTATAATCCTTGCTCAAACACTTCTTTATCTGGAGCTTAAAACAGGTTGGTGAATAAAGTACAGTAAAACCTGCAAAAGCCAGAAACTTGTAAGGCGGAAATCTGTCAGAAGAGGAACACTCAAATATTTTCTACTAATAGAGAGTGATAGAAAAGTGGTAAGACTGCACTCTGTCAATGATGGAAAACTTGAGAGACTCGGAAAAATGAGGCAGTTCCATAGAGTTCCAGCTGTCACAGTTTTAATTATTCTGAGTTGTCAGAGGAGGAATTGGAAACAGAATGGTTGACAAAGGTCTGCAGGTTCCTATTGGCAGAGGTGGCAGTCAGATCCTGCTCTATGCCTGCAAGTCCAGTGCTTTTTGCCTGACAGCAGGGTAACCCCAGGCACACCACTGGAGGTGCTTCTCTGGTGTAAAGCTAAAAACAAGACAAGCTAGCTCTGAATTCACCAAGCATCTGCAATGTTACACTGTGTTCTCACAGCCCCTAAGTCTGCACAACAGCTGCTCTTGATTTAGATTTTGCTGCTTTCATTATCACTTTTAAACTGTAACCAGCCCCTTCTTTTTATATGACTGGATCTGTTTTCATGAAAGGATCACATGGATAAAAGAGAGCATAGACAGTGTGGTCACTGCAAGAGCAGGCCTGGGGCTTCTGATGACTAGAAAAGCCATGCTCCATTGTGATCCTGACACTACTGACATGAACTGGATGTAGAAAGTAGAGGAGGCTAGAGGCTCTCATTCTTCTTTGGGGCTGAGATCAAAGAAAGAACCTCTTTTGGCTTTTCTCAGCACTGCTTCTTTTCACTGTACATCAGTGCCTTATCTGGGACCAGGTCTCAGAAGCCAGAGTAGTTTTTGTCATCAGTACCCTGTACATACTCAGGTACCATAGGATGGTTTTGTCTTGTTTTTAGATCTATTATTATTGCTGACAAGTTTTTAACTGTCAAGGAGGTATTTTCCTCTCCTCATTGTCACTTATTCTAATTTGAGGCCAGGACACTATACTTTCTATAATCCTTCAAAATATCTTTTAAAACAAGCCTCCCTGGCCACCCACATAAAATATCACCTGTGCTGACCATTCCTTTTTCACTCTCTATCCCCTTTAACTTGCTTTCTAAATTTTTTCATATACTTCTCTGTACCTGACCCATTCTATTTTTGTATTTTTCCAAATTATTGTTTGTCTCCTCTAACTAGAACATGATCTTCAAAAGAGTAAGCTCTATCTCTCTCTTGTTTATTATTGTATCCCTGGTGGCTACATGAGTACCTGGAACATAGTAGAACTCAGTCAGTGTTTATTGAATGAATTAGTGAATTATTTACATCTTCCCCAATGACTACCACTATCCCAGGCTTGCCATATAAAGACCCTAGTAAACTAGAAGGAACTCTGGTGGCGTAGTGCCTAAGGCATTTGACTGCTAACCAGAAGCCTGGCGGTTCAAACCCACCAGCCACTCCTCAGGAGGAAGGTTGGGCAATCTACTTCTTTAGTGATACCACCTTGGAAACCCAAGGAGGAGTTGCTATGAATCGGATCTGACTCCATGGCAGTAGTTACATAAAAAAGCAAGAAGTCATAGCAAAGGGAGGGAAGAAAAAAAAAAAAAACTTTATCTTACCTTTTTATAGCTGAAGTTTTTAGTTTATTATTGACCAATGGGTTCAGAAGCAGGGACATGATAAAAGTATTGAGTCAGCTCTCAAATCAAAGATCCTGAGCCCCTATAGCCATACTTGGCCCTTCTGGGAGGGGCCCTTCTTCTGCCTGGAATTCTCCTTGGATAGAATTGAAGGCAATCACACATGAGCACTGGCCTGTTCATCCCATATTCACTTTGGAAAAGCAAAGACTTAGTTTTGTTTATTTGGTAAATTGGGTGGTAGGAGAGAAGAGAAAGTGATATCATTCTACCTTTTTTTTTTTTTGAGATCTACTGATAAAAATTTGTTCTGAAACTGGTGAGAAATAAGAGTAATGTAATAAATCCTCCTACGTTGTTGTTGTTATGTGCCGTCAAGTAGGACCCGACTCGTAGCGACCCCTCCTTGGGTTTCCGAGGCGATATCACTACAGAAGTAGATTGCCCCATCTTCCTTCTGAGGAGTGGCTGGTAGGTTTGAACTGCCAGCCTTCTGGTTAGCAGTCAAGTGCCTTAGGCACTATGCTACCAGAGCTCCCAAATCCTGCTATACCACAGTGCATTTGTTTGGTTTTGTTTCCATCAGTTCTGTGAAGTCCACCTGGAAAATCTCTCCCAACCAGTTAGCTGCCATCAAGTTGATTCCAATCATGGCAACCCCATGCATGTCTGAGTAAAATTGTGCTCCATAAGGTTTTCAGTGGCTGATTTTTCAGAAGTAGATCTTCAGTCCTTTCTTCCCTCTGGGTGGACTCGAACATTCAACATTTTGATTAACAACTGAGTGTATTAACCATTTACACTACTCAGGGACTCTGAAAAACTTCTAGTCATTATTTAAGCTGTACATCAAATATGGGATCCTCTACAAAGCTTTCTTTAAACATCTCACAGAAGGGTTCTACCGTCCCTTTTTGTGAGCTTGTGAGTTGGAATCAACTAGATGGCAATGGATATGTTTTGTTGCTTCGTATTGGTTTGTGTGTATGTGTGTGTGTCCAGCTTAAGGAGCTCTGGTGGCCCAGTGCCTAAGGCATTTGACTACTAATCAGAGGTTGGTGGTTCAAACCTACCATCTGCTCTGTGGAAAGAAGATGGGGCAATCTACTTCTATAAAGATTTACTGTGTTGGAAACCCAATGGGGTCACTATGAGTTGGAAGTGATTGATGGCAGTGAGTTTGGATTTTGATTTTAAATGCCTAGCATATAGTTGCTACTCAATAAATGCTGAGGAAATGGACAAGTGAATAAATGAATAAACAAGAGATTGCACACTCCAGTCATGGTTACCCTGTTTGGCATTTGGCATTCAGCCCTTCCTTGTGGAACTATTTGATCACTTTTTTTTTATTTTCTTTATTAGGCACTCTGATTGTTCTGAAGCATCCCTATCCAAGGAAAGTGGAAGAACCTTCCATTTATGAATCTGTGCGGGTTCACACAGCAATGCAGACGGGAAAAACAGAAAATGACCTTGTGCCCACTGCTCCTTCTGTAAGTGACCACCAATTTGACCACAAGCTCTCTCATTGTCTGAAAGTGTTCAGTGCAGTAAGATACTTTTCAAACTACATTTTTTTTCACATAAAAATTCTAATTTGGGATAGAAAACTTGGACAAAAAATTAAAGTTTGAAGCCCATGGCTCATTCACCTGAACAAAGGGAAATGCATAAAAAACACACTGTGATAGTGATAGGATTCTAAATACTTTTAAAATAACACTTGAATTCCTATCCTTAGCCAATTAAGTTTATGACAGAATGGGTTGACTAAACTGTTATTCTTGGCCAAGGTTCTTAAATTAAGATTTTTTTTTTTTTTTACATTCAACTGTCTATAGTAGAAAAACATCCCCTAGCTTTATGATAAAATCACGGGGTATCATTTTTTCCCAGCCCTTTTTCCTTCACTGAATGAAGTGTACAGACAGAAAACATCCACACATCTTTGCAACTCAGGTCATCGTTCAGTTTCAGTGCAACTGGGGCACTCATTGTTCTTTTGAGATTCCATTTATGTTTGTTCTGTGAACTGTGACCCTGAAATTACTCTTCTCTAGCAACCCCTTCTTTCATTATTCTCAAAGACCTTCTATTCTCTTTCTTTTCCTTGTTCGTTGAATATTCCTGATATAAGTGACCTGGATTTGCACAGATGATGAGGAGGACAATACACAGATGAAATATCAAGAACGGCTCCTAGGTAGCAATCATTACACTTGAAAAATGATCATTTAAGGATACTTAGGTACAAATTATGTTCGAACATATGACCTTCCTATTTATTCAGTACATTTTCTACTCTGTCACTGGAGAGCGCTTTTCTTTAAAAGCAGATTTATCACATGACCTCGCTGATTGACACCCTTCAGTGGTGTCCATGACATTCATGGCTCACCTGGACCCCACTAACCTCTCTGGCATCATCTCATGCCACTCCCACACTCACAATGTAGAACTTGCTGTCTCAATAACATGCATTCCTCTTAGTTTACTCCTTAACTCCTCCCTACATCCAGAATGCAACCAATACTACCATTGTCCACTCATCCTTCAGAACAATTGTTAGTGATCAATATCTTCCAGGAAGCCTTTCTTGACTCCCACTGGCTTCTATTTAAATGCTGTTCTTCTCCATTCCAGAGCACTCCCTACTTACTTTACCTAGAATTATCAGACTATAAGGAGCTCTGGTAGCATAGTGTCTAAGGTATTTGACTGCTAACCAGAAGGCTGGTAGTTCAAACCTACCAGCCACTCCTCGGAAGGAGGGTTGGGCAATCTACTTCCGTAGTGATACCGCCCGTAAACCCAAGGAGGGGTTGCTATGAGTTGGGTTCAACTCGACAGCAGTGAGTTGGGTTTTGATTTGATTTATCAGACTATAACATGAGGAAAAAAAAAAAGTCATTTTCTATAGAGTCAGTTCTGACTCATACTGCCCTATGTGTTTTAGAGTAAAACTTTATAATGTTTTCAATGGCTGTGATCTTTCAGAAGTAGATCTCTAGGCCTTTCTTCTGAGGGCCCTCTAGGTGGATGTAAAAAACCACTTAATTTGTAGCAGAGCATTTAATCAGTTGGGCCACCCAGGGGTTCCTTACTGTAGCATTTGATATTATATGCTGTCAAGTTGATTCTCACTCAGAGGAAAATTATATGACAGAGTAGAACTGCCCCCGTGCATTTCCTAGGCTGTAATATTTCCAGGAATACCAGGTCTTTTCTCCATGGCAGGGTTCCAATCACCTACCTTTCGGTTAGTAGCCAAGCGCTTAACCACTGAGCCACCAGTGCTCCTTTACTGTAGCATAATTACCTATGAATGTGTCTGCCCTTCCCTCTAGCCTGAGACTTCCCTAAAGACAGGGAGCATAGCTTTGTATCCTTACCAATTTCCTGGAACATATTACGTATTTGTTATTAGGCTACATCTACTTAAAAGTCCTAGAAACTGATTGAGAAAGTTATATTGGCTTTGCTAGAGATGGATGAGGAAGCATCAGACCTTAGAACTAAAGAAACTGAGCAAAGTAGGATGATAAACAGTCCAAAACTAAAAGAGAACAAAGAATAAATCAAGACCTACTCTCTAACTCATTTTTGTTTTTCAGTCAACCAGCCTCTTGTACACTTCCTCTTTACTGTTTCTTACCCCACCACCAATCACATCAATGTCTCTCTCATTTGGACTTTCAGTTTGACTTCACTTTCTCCTTCTGTTATACTTATCCTAACAATCTCCACTCAAAGTCAATCAAACCATACCCTACTATGTCTGTCCTCACACATACTACCAAGCACAGTTGAAGAAATATGGGTCATCTGGGTGACTCAGTGCCACAGTGAGTTTCCAGCCTCAGCTGTGCCCACAATGCTTACCAGTGATACTTCTCTAACCTCAACCTACACCTTCTCTCGTTTCCTCAGCACTGATCTCAAACCTCCCCCATCCCTAAGTTACCCATACAAATAATTGCCAAGCACTGCTCTGCAGATTCATGCTGGTCAGGTCAGGGATGATGTTTACACGGGTCCACTGATTAATGAGAAAAATGTAAAATGATGCAATGAGTGTTTTGCAAGGTTTAAATTTCAGCTTGTGAAATGTGAACCTGTCTTTTATACAGAATTACATGCTTCCTATTTTCTTAATATTAAAAATATCCTTTCTCTTAGGAAATTATGATGATGTTTTAAGTGTTTTTTAAAAAATACTTATGCAGGTTAAGAGATTGTCATTTATACTGAAATGAAATGCATATATGTGTGTGTGATATTAAAGTGGCCTTTCTCTTATAAAATGATGTTGATGGTAGCTAGTAGTTTTAAATTTTATGTTTATTTGAGGAGCTCTGGTGGTGTAGTGGCTAAAGCATTCCGCTGCTAAGCAAAAGGTCACCAGTTCAAACCCACCAGCTGCTCTGCAGAAGAAAGTCAAGACAGTCTGCTTCTGTGAAGATTTGAAGCCTTGGAAATCTAAGGCAGTTCTATTCTGTCCTATAGCATTGCTATGAGTTGGAATCAACAGGTTGGTAGAGAGTTTGGTATGTTTATTTGACAAAACAAAAAGTTAACCAGTGTTGTCTCTCAAAGCTTTGAAATTTCCAACTTGCTGTTTCATTCAGTCCAGAAGTTTGGGAACAACTACATAATAACATATGTCCCCTCATCCCAGAGAAGGTAATTTTGCCTCCTACTTCCCAGGGAAAGGAATCATCAATGATTTTTTTCAATTACTCCTCCGCCCACTAAACTATCACCTTATTAATAGTCTCAGCCATTCTTACATCCCTTCCTTCTGAAGAAGAGAAAGAGGAGGCCCAGTGGAGACAATGTGTAATGAGAAGCTCTTGGAGTTGATTGTGCATTAATATAGACAAAACATTAAAAAGGCTTTCTAGTGGATTCTGCAATGTCTCTTGTTACTCTACACTGAGGAATCACAGATAACTTGACCAGCATGGCCACGGGAACTGTTCTGGTCCAGTCAGCATTTTCTTGTTCCTAACTGACCACAAGCATTCTCAGCCTCCACTGGTGTGGTAGTTAAGTTTGTGGGTCAGCTTGGCTGGGCGTGGGTGAGTGGCTGGGCAGCTGGATGTAGTATTCCCCATGATGAGACTGGTAATCAACTCCATGGTGGAATCTACTGTGAGCAGCTGAGTAGCTGTTTTGGTGTGTGGTCTGCATCCTGTATATAAAAGACAGCTTTGGGAATGGTCTCTAGCTTATGGCACACTTGAATCCTGCATGTAGCCATGTCGTTGTTCAGCAGCCTGCCATACTCTGCCAACCTTGAGACTTTCAGTAGACTTGAACTAATGGCCTGCTATGTGGTTTGTTAACACTGGGACTGTGCCATTTTATTTGCCGACCTTGGGCTTGTTAGCCTCAGCAGCCAGTAGCTGCCTGAGTAAAGCGAGATTCCTCTAGCTTCAGTGGGCCAGGAGCAAGAAGCAGAGCTGAAGCCCAAGGTTGAGGTGACTTTCACCCAGCCCCTAGAGCCGGGCACTTTGAACTTGGACTTCTAGCCTCCTGAACTGTAAGAGAATAAACTCCTGTTTGTTGAAGCCATCCCATCTGTGGTCTATTCTTGTCAGAGCAGCACTAGGTAACTAGAACAACTGGTTACCACCAACAGACACAATGATGCTGTACCTCCATCTTCAACCCAACAGTTCTGTGGACTTTCAGACTCTGTCTTCTCTTTTGGGACACAGTTCTTGCTCAAGCTCCAGCAGTGGGGAAAGAGAACTAAGACCAATTTATAGGAAAAAGAACTTCTTTCTTGAAGTGAAAGTGAAAATAGATACCCTATTGCCCAGAAAACAACATATATGCTTGTATAAAAATGTTTAGTACCTTTTTGCAATAGCATTTTGGAAAATAACTATCATATTATAAACAACATAGGGTTGGGTTCCTGAGGTAGGATTATGTTTAATTCATTCTTAATTTAACAAAGCTTTTTTAAGCATCTATTATCCATTAGGGAGCTCTGGTAGCATAGTGGCTAAGACACTTGCCTGCTAACCAGACGGCTGGCGGTTCAAACCCACCAGCCACTCCTCGGAAGGAAGGTTGGGCAATCCTACTTCCGTAGTGATACTGCCTCGGAAACCCAAGGAGGGGTCACTATGAGTCGGGTTTGACTCAACGGCACATAACAACAACAACAACAATTATCCATTAGGACTGTAAGAAGGTCAGAAGGCCTGGTGTGGAGTGAGTTAGAAGGAAAGTAATAAGAGATGAGATTATTGAGGTAATGAGGGGCCAGAGGAGGTAAGGCAATAGAGTTCTTAACCTAGCAGAACCTCTCAGCTGGGGTATTTAGGAATTTGTTAGTGTTTTGGTTGTCACAATGCTGTGGATGACACTAGTAGAATGAATGGGTTTCAAGAACTATGAGAAGTCTGAGACTTTACCCTGTTTTCAAACTAATGAGCTGATCTGCCCCAGTTTCATGGATACTGATAGAAGACACAAT